TTCCTCAACAGCCTGCAGCCACAAGTGTAGGTGTCATTTGTGTGTGTGCAGAGTGGATGTAGGCGGTGGCAAATTAGGCTGTTTCATTAACATCTCTTATAGATACACTTCCCACTTGTCTCATTCTCTTTTTTTTAAATCAGTCTTAATTATTTTTCACATTTGAATCCGTTCATCTTGAATTAAGCTGCTTACAAATATCATAAAAACTCCTTATCTTCCTTTTTTAAACTATTCATGTATTACATGTGTTGTATTGAGTTTGATGTGAATGACTTTACTTTAATTCTTTATCTGTTTCTTTATGATATACATTGTGTTGTAAATGTTTCAGGGAGCTCCAACATGGGATGATAAAACCTCTGGACTTCATCCATCAGAAACACATGGACTGAACCTCCTGACTCATCAGACCTCACCAGAGACCTGAACAAGAAAAGTGAAAGAAGGAGGAATTTCAAAATTAAAGCTGCGTGTTTAACAGTGAACAGCGAAATATGGAATGTATTGTCATTGGCACAACCCATATTTGTCCAGAATGCATTTTTAACCGAGGATTTTATATTCATCACTCAGTATCATCTCCATGGTAAAGTAGTCTACAAGCTCTGGCAATACCTCCTGATGATATTAGGCCTGCTCATTTGTTGCACCATTGGACTTGCTGCCATAAAAGAAGGTGTAACAGCCATCTGTCAGCCCAGAGGAAGAGGTGGCCCTAAAAATCAACAAGAAGAACGGCACGATTCAGGTCTCCAACTTCTACATCAGCAGGGTGTGAGGAAAAGAGATGGAAAGCAACGAAAGACAGAAGGGAAGGTGTACAAGTGATAATGTTTAAATAAATTATTAAATGGGCCCAGTAGTGCTCCATGCAATACTGTAAATGGGCAAGTTCAAATGTCCACTCAGACAGATTTATTACACTTGTCAAAAGGCAAACATGATCGCATGAAGGGCAATGGCACAATATGAACATGCTCACACACACACACACTCACACACACACACACACACACACACACACACAAAAACACACACACACACACACACACACACACACACACACACGCACGCCTACTCCTTGAAGGATTGCAGCTGTAGCCAAGTCAAAGAGGATCAGAGGACAGACAGAATCTCTGATAACCTGATGACTGTGGCCTCTTCACCCTTATGACACAGCAAAGACTGAATGTTGTCAGGGCTTAAACAGATCTACCTGTGAATGTGACAGTAGACCTGTGTTGAATAGTATGTTGCAAATAACTCTGCATTTATTTTTATAGATAGTTTTCTTCAGGCGGCGTTTGAACATCAGGACATCGAGTATCCAGTATTCCAGTTGCCCAGTACCTAGTTTAGTGCAGAATTGAACACTTCCGCAGTTTGTGTTCAGTACTTATTCAAACTGTCAGCAGTCCCTGATTGTACTCTTATGAATATCATGATTATTAATCTACTTTTGTTGAAATTCTGCCATTTGAGGTTGTTCTTATCCCACTAGTATTTGTTGTGTGCTATGGCAGCTTTCATATCCAGGATATTTTAGCTTAATTTCTCCCTGGTCTCTCCTTATATTAATATTTCAGTGGAGTGAAGTTGTGAGGTTGTGAATTCTATTTTCTCCGAGTGTTTTCCTTGTTATTTTCTGTTTAACCTTTTAGAGTTTGTGAGTGCTTTTGATCACCAAGTTTTTCCTGTTCATGCGTTTATTGATTTTACTTTTACTTTGCCTGTTATTAAAGGACACTTTTTTGCTTCTGCATTTTTGGGTCCACCTGCTCCCATAAAACCTGACATTATATGCAATTGGAAAGTAAAAGGTTCTGTGTCTCTCTTTGCTGTCTTGTAACACAAAATACTGAATACATTTATTCAGTCTATAGAACATACATACAAATGGAGACTGTGTCTGGTCCTACTGTTACTAAAACTTTGTTGCTTTGAGGTATTCCCATCTACTTAGATACAGTTGAAGTCGAAAATGTAAATTTTTCCTTTGATTCATCACAGTTTACTCAGGCACAGTATCAGTTACACTGTAGCTGATGCAGGGAATACAGTCTTTGAGTCCTTTCCATAGACACCAAGATCATGGACATGGATCTGATAAATGTGAAGCTTTTCTTGATTCATTGAGTTCAACCCCCCAAGAGCTAACAAACTATATAACTTTAATAAACCAGTATATATCTCACTGAAAAATTCATAAACAACTGTTGTTGCTCTCAGACACCGTGACAACTGCCCCCAAACATTGTGGCAACAGAGGCAGATGCCAAACAGTTAGACATCAAAGACAGCTGCCTAATAACAGTGTGACATCAAAAGCAGCTGCCTTTACATATCAGTGGCAGTTTCCACCGGAAGTTCTTCTACAATTCAACCTTACCCTTACTGGTGATATTACATCCATAAGAGTATAAATACCCTACATCACATATTTTCGCAACGAGGTGTAATTTCACCACTAAACCATAAAGGTAACATTGGTCTGTTTATTTTGCAAAGTATTTGTAGTATTTCAATCAGAAAAAATGCCTACGTAACTCTAAAGTTTGTTTGAGGTTGGGAGTTAAAGAACGTTTAGTGCATGAATGCAGAAATTTTGATGACTTTGTTTTATTGTGTTTTCCATAGTAATGATGGTTCAATGAATACATCTAAACAAGTAATTTTAGCTCAGCACAGAGTAAATTACCACATCTCTGTTCTTAAGCTAACCAAGCTAACTACTTCAATGCTACAATGGTGTCAATAAGTTTCTTTATTCACCGTCTATCCAGCAGATTCAGCAGCTGTCACTGTAAACACACCACCTCTGCAGCAGCCAATGCTATAKTCAAAGACATTATATTGTTTTAACTTCCTGCTGAATTTGTTATGCAAGGAAATATGTAAAGTGGTGATAATATAAAGGGATCTTATTTTTTTCTTGCAAAAACCTACTGGTACTAATATACATAATGTGTGTATGTGTGTGTGGCTGTTGAGCTTATACCTCATGCTTTCATGTTGTTTACATCCATATTCCTGAACTCCCCCAGTGCAACAGCATCAATCCATAGCTAAGTCAATGTGTTTTTTATGTTAATGGTTTGCTATTGGCAGAGGTGGTAGATTTACTTGGCYAGGCAGTTGCCACTTTCTCTAAAGTTTCGTTCAGACCTGACATTAGCTGCATCTCAAAGTGCTCCACGGTTTTCTTTCATCTTGCAGCCATGCCGCTGCCTGACACRATGTACTGTGCCGAGCAAATCAACATCCCTCCCGAGCTGCCCGACATCCTCAAGAACTTCACCAAGGCAGCCATCCGAACGCAGCCCAAGGACGTGCTTCTGTGGTCTGCAACGTAAGCCTCAGTGTCTGTCAGCAGTGATTCAGGCAGAGGAGACGTGTGATTTGTGTTTATTATGATCTCGAGCTCTTTAACAACACCAGAAACAGTGTCTCTGGGCAGCATCACTGTACAAAAAGGTCGWCTCTTTCCACCTGTGAATCTCTCATCGTGGCACTGACTTGCTGTAATTGCATCCCGTGAGCCTCTATGTTACTGTAGCTGTGAAACTACTTTCAAACAAAGAAAAATACTTTTAAAGTAGAGGATGATCCTTAGATATATCAAGATTTTTTTATGTCACCCTTAGGATTTTCTATCCTCTACCGTTGTATTGGCTGGTGTATCTTGGTAGTGTTCACCACAAAATACAATTAAGTCAGTCACATGGAGAAACAGAAACAATTAAAATGTCTCCTGGGTTACATCATGTGTAAATGCTCTTCCAGGGATAGTTCACCTACAAATGAAAATTCACTCATTATCTGCTCAGCACTATGCCGATGGAGGGTGGGTGAAGTGTTTGAGTCCACAAAACAATTTTGGAGTCTCAGTTGTAAACTTTGTTGCAGCAGAATCCGATACAATTGAAGAAATTAGTGACTAAAACTTCCGACGTAATAAAACAACAGAAAAAACATAACGTTCCTCAATACTGCTCATGTGGTGTCATCCAAGAGTCCACAATTCTGTCATTCATATTCGACTCAAAACGAGGATATTTACACCATTTTATAAACCCAAATGTTCACTGATATCTCACGAAGAGGTGCATTCTGGGACCATCGGAAATGCTATCCTCTGCTAGCTTAGCCACTTCTGGGGTTTTTTCTGTTGCTTTATTACATCGGAAGCTTTGGTCACTAATTTCTTCAATTGTACTGGATTCTGCTGCAACACTGTTTACCACTGAGACTCCTAAAGTGTTTGGTGAACTCAGATACTGTACCCACTCCATCTGTATAGTGGTGACGAGTAGATAATGAGTGAATTTTCATTTCAGGGTGAACTATCCCTTTAAAGTAACACCAGCTTTTTTTGCTGCTCAAAAACACTAAATGCAACGCTGCCTGTCACTAGTTCGCTGTTAAAGTAATTCAAACTTTGAAGTACGATCATCCACTCTCTTCCCCTTTAGCATTTTTGAGAATGATGGCAAACAACACAAAGAAAAATACAACACACGATTATTTAATTGGTGCTACTCATGGGATATTGTTGAAAGAGAAACTTGTGTTTCATTCTACATTTTGGCCTACATTTGATTCACATTTTTGGAAGGAATTCAAACGACAGACCGATTGGGTGAGGTTAAGTGAATATAATATACAGTAACTGCATGTATGTGTGTGTTACTTTTTCCAGATACTTCCATGCACTGTGTAAAGGAGAGCGTTTGCCTGTCAAAGACCGTTTTGAGATGACCGTTGACTCCCAGAAGACAGATTTGATGTTCTGTGCCCAGCAAATCAGAGTCCCTACCGAGCTGCCCGACATCCTCCAAAACTTCACCAGGGAAGCCATCCGAATGCAGCCCAGGGACGTGCTGCTGTGGTCTGCAACGTAAGCCTCAGTGTCTGTCAGCAGTGATTCAGGCAGAGGAGACGTGTGATTTGTGTTTGTTATGATCTCGAGCTCTTTAACAACACCAGAAACAGTGTCTCTGGGCAGCATCACTGTATAAAAGTCCCTCATTACCTGTGAATCTCTCATCAGGGCACTGACTTGCTGTAATTGGATCCCGTGAGCCTCTATGTTACTAAAGAGGTTAAACATCTTTCTAACAGAAAAATACTTTTAAAGAGGATGATTGTTAGAAATATCAAGAATTTTTCTCATATCCTTTCTACGATCTGCCATTTTATTGGCTGTTGTGTCTTGGTAGTGTTCAACACAAAAGAAAATTAAGTCAGTCACATGGAGAAACAGAAACAATTACAATGTCTCCTGGGTTACATCATGTGTAGATGCTCTTAAAGTAACAACAGCTTCTTTAGCTGCTCAGAAACACTAATTGCAACGCTGCCTCTCACTAGTTCACTGTTAAAATAACTGTGAACTGCGATCAACCACTGTCTTCTCCTTTTGCATTTTAGAGAATGATGGTAAACAACAGAAAGAAATGCAACACATCATAATATTGTTAAAAAAGCAACGTAGGCCTACATTTGATTGGCATGTTAAGGAGGAATTTAAATGTCAGATTGGGTGAAGTGAAGATAATATACAGTTACTGCATGTTTATGAGTGTTTCATTTTCCAGATACTTCCATGCACTGTGTAAAGGAGAGCGTTTGCCTGTTGAAGATTGTTTGGAGATGAACGTTGCCACCCAGAAGACAGACACTGGGCTGACTCCAGGTCTTCTTAAGACTCTTCACAAACAGGTACTYTCTCTCCAGCAGGACCAAACCTCATGGAACTGATCACGTGATCATTTACCTCACACTGCTGTTGTGTATGTTTAATATCCACATTTGCTTACACG